CTTTCGTGCCGAGATCCGCCGTTGATAAGATTGGAGAAAGCGTCGCTACACGACACGTGTACAATTAATAACCAATAAGACGCTAGCCCGCGCGTGGCGAAATCGCGCGATGGGAGATTAGGCGCAAATAATTTCGGAGAAAAATATACAAGGTGTACGCCAGTCACGGACACGCACGTCCCAATCGACGATTTTAATAACCGCCATGTGTGTCGGCGCGAGATACCTCGGGATGTGATCACGAGGGGGAGGGGGGGGGAGGAGAGGGAATTTTATAACGCCGGTTATCAAACGTAGCGGCACTGAAAATGTAATAAAATAAACATTACGTTCTCGTTAATGTGTGCAAATCGCGCGCGTTGATCGATGATTTCGTCACATCCCGTTTCACCACGCCTAGAGTCAGTGCTTTTCTTGAGTTTGTTGAGTAAAAGATTTGAGTCCGTCAGTGAAATAAAATTTATCGGAGAGCGGCGCTGTCAAGTCATGTTTCGGCTACGACGGCTGTTGAAATTAAATAACGTTTTTTTTTTTGTGCCTTCGCGCTCATGATGGAATTATCGATCACTGACACGGCGAATTTAGGAAGGCAGTATTAGCATAATTGCGTACGACTGTAATTGCCTTTGTATCGATGTGGTGTGACGGAGAATTAATCGCGTAAAGAGAGTAAAAATGCCGTGGAGATGTAAACTCCTCTGTTCGTTCACGGGAAAATGAATGGAGACACGAATTTGAAATCACACGAGGTAATTGTGTCGCGCGTTTGAAAGATGTATGTAAATTACTTTATGCGCGCGAGACAAGCGCTTGAGCGTTAGAAGTAACGTAGAGGCAAGGTAAAGGGAGAAAGAAATTAATGGCGAAATGCCCTGAAGAAAGAGCACACAATAATTACCGCTAACTTTACATTAATATCAGTTAAAGTTTGACAGGGTACCCATTAACGTTGAATGGGGATACGATTAAAAGTACGTAACCGCCGTATCTGCATAGTCGTCATGGTGAAGAGGTAATTGCCGCATAGATTTACGCACTTTGACCCATATTCGCGCAACAGCCGTGCGCCGACACCACCTTGGAGAACCTTTCGCGAAATTAGTATTCGTGAATGCACGTGGATGATGAAATCTCGATCCCCTGCCCCCCCCCCCCATTTATTTTTGTAAGATCGCGAAATTATATACGTAATGTGCGCTCGTAATTGAGAAATATTTTGGGAACACGGGGAGCCGAGAACTGTCTCGGGAACGCGATAAAGTGGGGGCGTCGCACCTCGACCTCGATGACCGTGGCCATGTCGACGTGGGGCGCGTAGAACGTCAGCTTGTCGGCTGTCGGCGCCTCCGTGCGCGGCGGGAACATCCCCAGAATCTCCAGTTTGCCGGCTCCGTGGGTCAACGACGATGCACGAACGGCACTCTCCGCGTGGAAATTCGCGCGTCTCGGGGGCCACCTCAACTCGGATCCTTCCTCGTCGTACACATGACACAATCGCAAGCTGCACCCCGTCCGGTCGTCGCGCACCCCCGCGTGCTACACTCGCTTTCGCGGCGGCCGTCGCATTCGCGCGCGAAACGATACACTGCACACCACGTCGAGACGGGCACATCAAGTCACACAACGGAGGACACCACCGTTTCTACTCAGCGAGGTTGGAGTATTTTCGAAAGCGGAAAAAGGGTTGGCGGAAGGCGGGAAGCGAAAGGATTATAGAAAAAAAAATGATTCTTTATGCGTGAAATTTGAACGGAACACTTCAAGTTTTAAATTTTAGAAAAATATTAGTGGGACACGAAGGGGAAAAAAAAAGACAGAAACGTAAATAGATGTAGAAAAAGCAATTTAAAAAAAAAAAAAATGATGATAGAAGGTATTATAAATAGATCAAGTCGCGCGATATCTTATTCATCGACTACTATTATCTCCATGGTTCACGCAAGCTCGTGAACTACTCTTTCGATCGACGTTATTTCTGATATCTCCCAGAGACATCTCTCCAAAACTTCCTCATTGAAATCTACATCGATTACGATCGTATTAACGGACCTCAAGGTATATTAGGTATCCAAAAAGTGCCTCTCATCCCGAATGACAGTTCATTCGGAAATTCGGGGAAACGAGGCGAACGAGGGAGGAGGGAACTCGAAAGGGATAACCGAGGACGATACGAGGTGCTCGCGCGGTGATTCTTCGGTAAAGATCGGAGCGGAACAGCTGATCGCGGCCGACAAACTGAGCGACGGGGACGTCGGCGAGACGTACGCGAAAGTAAAGGAGCCCAAGGAGCCGTGTGGCCGCGGACGAAATGGGAGATGCTACGGTGCGCTCTTACCGAGAGCTACTACTACTACTACCACCACCGCGAAACACCACCTTAGTATCCTGCCCTACCATCCGGCCGGGTGTCCCGGCAAAGGAGCCGGCGAAGGAGCGACGGAGTGAGACAGAAGGAGGTACGCACAGGGAGGAGAGAAGGTGCGCCGTGGTGGATGGAGCGGGAGAGAGAGAAAGAGAGAGAGAGAGTGAGAGAGATCTCTCTCGTTTGTGCACGCGTACTGAACGACGACCGAAATTTCGCCCCGGGGTACGCGCCACCACGTGGCACCTAGACCTAGCACCGGCGACCCCCCACCAGCTGATGGACGATGGGACGTACCACGATCGAACGAATAGGAGTAATGGAGCGGTGCCGTACGACGCTCGCCGACCCTCGCCGAGCCGGCGAACGCGAGCGACGGCCTCGTGCTCCGTTCCTCGCGCTCGTGTGCGTACGTCACGTAGGGGATGCCGTGCCTTACCCCGAGCGCGACGAGTGAGCTTGGAACGTAACGAATACGCAGTTCAGGATAGAATTGATTCGAATCAAAGTTGCGATTTTAATGACAGATTAAAGGGAAATTTGCGAGAAAGTCGAGCTTAAAAAATATTTAATTGGAAGCATCTCTGGAAGTTTTTTATATTAAATATTTTAAGATATATTTAAAATTAATTAAAAAGAAATAAGATTTAATTTTCTTGTTTTTTTTTTTTTTTTTTTTTTTAGTTCATTGAGGTGATACAGCTTTCAAGATTTTTAAACATCTTCGGATATGTACAGGATCGTGTTTATAAAATGTCATCGAACTAAAGCAGTCATTATATCATATCTGTGAGGAATTAACTGCAAGAATTCGGATAACTGGTACGGTGGCTTTGGTCCGTCGCTGGAAATTAAAAGTGCCAAGTTTTCTCAAACCTGTCGAGATTTGAGAAAACAAATCTCTATCGCTCGTAACGAGATTAGCACTCGCGTCCGCTTAATTTCCGCATGCGAATACGTCGCCGTATTATCTCACGTGATGGCTCATTAAGACATCGTCCCCTCGTCTGACGTCGTTCGTCCACTACAACTAGATGGCACAATATTGCATCAACAAGAAAATAGGGCTTATTTTAGGTAACCTATAATTCGTGTCACAATTCAGAATAGAATTCTTATAATTTTAGATGCTATGTAATACGAGGACATTCAAAGAATCAGAGAAAACACACACACACACACACACACACACACACACACACACACACACACACACACACACTATTTAATAAAA